CAGGGCTTCATGAATACTAGGCATGCACTCTACCACTAAGCCATGTCCCCAGCTCTATTTTAATTATTTTTGCTGTTTTTTCCCAAGCGAGTTTTCTGTCCTCTGCCTCTGACACACCTCTCAATCCTGGCTGTTGAGCTCAGGGTCTAATAGGCAAGCATTCATCCATTTGAGCTATGGCTATCACTTCTTTTTTCATTGCTTATTTCTGACTCTTGCTTTATTCCCTGGACTGCCTGGGCTTCACTTCCTCTACTTGTGCTTTACTGTGTTACTAGGGATGGCAGGTGTGTACCACTGCTTGCAGCCATTGTGCTTCCCTAGGAAGCTGGGATAACAGGTGCATGCTACCACTGCCAGCCATTTGTTCAGATGGAGTCTTGAAAACTTTTTCCTGGGATGGCCTCAAACTGTGATTTTCCTCCCAGCCCCCATGTCCATTTCCCAAGTAGCTAGGATTATAGGCTGGCCTTTTTATTGTTTGAAACAACTATAGGTTAACAGAAAATTTGCAGAGTACAAAGGGTTCCCAATATGTCCTATGTCTAATTTGTACTGTCATATATAGTAATAGCATTACTATGGTAGATTTATTAAAATTAATGAGCCAGTTTTGATAACACTTTTTCAGACTGTCTTATTGTTAGCAATATGCTTTTTTTTTTTTTTCCTTTCTTCCAATCCCGGGGCTTGAACTCGGGGCCTGGGTACTGTCCCTGAGCTTTTGTGCTCAAGGCTAGCACTCTACCAATTTTGAGTTTTGAGCCACAGCTCTACTTCTGGGCTTTTGTGGCAGTTAGAGATAGGAGTCTCATAGATTTTGCTGCTTGGTCTGGATTCAAACTGAGATTCTCATATCTTAGTCTTCTGAGTAGTTTAGGATTATAGGCATGAGCCACTAGTACCTAGCTAGGAATATACATTTTAACTTCTCTCATTTTGTTTTGTTTGGTGCTTTGAGCAGATATCTCAATTGTTCAATATTCAATAGTATTGGATATGTTACAGACTGTTTATTCCCTTACCTGTTGAAGGACATTTTGGTTGCCTACAGATTATTTAGTAGCAGTGCTAGTTCATGGCTTTTTTTGGGGGTTGGGGGGGTGTCAGTTGTGGGGCCTGAATTCAGGGCTGTCCTTGAGTTTTTTGCTCAGGGCTAGTGCTCAGCTACTTGAGCCCAGCTCCACTTCTGTTTTTGGAGTAGTTAACTGGAGGTAAGAGTCTCACTGACTTTCTTGCCCTGGGCTGGCTTCAAACTGCAGTCCTCAGATCCTTCTGAGTAGCTAGGGTTATGGGCATGAGCAACCTGTGCCCAGCAAGTCATGGCCTTTAGTGCTAAGCACATGGTATTCTAGCAGTGAGCTGTACTTTTTTTGTTGTTTTAAATTGGTTTCTCTTATTGTTCAGTGAGTTTTTTATATACATTAAAACATACATCAGATGTATGTTTTGCAGTTACCTTCTGCCAGTTTGTGATTGTCTTTGGTGGTTTTACAAGGTAGAAACTTAATGTTTCTTTCTTTGAGGTACTAAGTTTTTGATGTACAAAAACAATATCAAACCTAAGACCACCTAAGTATTTTCCTGTCTTATCTTGAAAGTGCTGTAAGATGACATCCATTTTTTTTTTTTTTTTTTTGCCAGTCCTGGAGCTTGAACTCAGGGCCTGGGCATTGTCCCTGAGCTTCTTTTGCTCAAGGCTAGCACTTTACCACTTGAGCCACAGCACCACTTCTGGCTTTTTCTGTTTATGTGGTACTCGGGGCTTCATTCATGCTAGACAAGCACTCTACATTCCCAGCCACATTCATAGCCCAAGATGACATTCTTTTTATGTACCAACCGGGATATCCTATTGGGTCACATTTGATATAGGAAGTATATGAATAGGAGAACTGGGATATGAGTGGCTGGTTCTTGGTAGTGTCATATTTTTATTACTGAAGTAGAGAATTAAGGTTACCTTACATATGTTATTTTGAATAGTTTGAAATATGGGCATATCTAATAATACTTGGAGAATTTAAAGCAGATGAATAGTGGCTTTTAGAACTAGAATAGACTAACTTTTGGGGGACACATTGGCAAATTAAGGTAGATAAAACAGCATACATAAAGCCAAACATTGAGAACTGACTTGTCACAGTTGAGTGATAAGGGTTTCCCAGCATCCTTCACAATATCTAGATAATACAAACAGTAGATGAGCACCCAAGTACCTCTTTTGTCTAAAATACAGGTCCTATAACTGGGTGTAGAGGAACTGGTAGTGGGAGAGAAGTATATTCCCTGGATTTGCTGGAGACTCTACCTTGTTCTCAATAAAACAGATTGCCTGCTGCTTGAGAACTCTTTCTTTTTTAAGCTTTTCCCATGTTGATCCCATTCCCCTTACCATTTCTTGGTCCCTAACCTGGGCCAGGCTTCTCAATAAACCTTCCAAAAGATCTCTGTTCTGGATCATTCCCTTTGCTGCTCTTTCCTGAGAAGGGTTACTATCCTCTGCCTCTGACCTCTTCATAAGTATGTGGTAGCATACTGTCTGGTGTAATAGAAGTTAGGAATACGCAATCTTCAGATCATCAAGAGTACATTAATTACAGGCTCGTGCCTATAATCCTAGCTACTCTAGAGGCTGAGATCTGGGGATCTCAGTTCAAAGCCAGCCCAGGCTGGAAAGTCCTTGAGACTCTTATCTCCAATAAACCACCAGAAAACCGGAAGTGGCCCTGTGTGGCTTATGTGGTAGAGCGCTAGCCTTGAGCTAAAGAGCTCAGAAGACAGTGCCCAGGCCCAGAGTTCAATCCCGATGACTGACCAAAAAAAAAAAAGGGTAGGTAATTTCACTAAGTCTTAATTCAAAGTATAAAAGAAAATGAGTTACTCCTAGAAGGTTCCCAAGAAATAGTGCATATGAAAATGTTTTTATAAACTGGAAAGCAGCACAAATAGATTATTTGTAAACCAGAATTAATGCTTCCTTGGGTCAGTAGCTATAGCATCCCTTTGGAACTTGCTATAGTAAGACCTTGTCTCAACTAGAAAGCTAAAAATAATAAAATAAGGGGGAAATACCTAGATACCTTGTATACTTGAAGTTATGGACTATTTGTACCTAGATACCTTGTATACTTGAAGTTATGGACTATTTGTCTTTCTATAACTGGTTTATTTTACTTAGCTTAACCTTTCAAGATTCACCCATGTGCTAGCATGTGACGGGATTTCCTTTTAAGGCTGAATAGTATTCCATTGTATGTGAAGTGCCTCATTTTCTTTTTCCATTCATCCATTTTTTGATGGACATTTGGGTTGCTTCCACTACTTAGCTATAGTGCTGCTAAGAACAGGGGTGTACAAACATCTCTGTGAGATCCTGTTTGAGTTATTTTGGCTACAAATGCAGAAATGAGGTTGCTGGAACATATGGCAGCTGCTTTTCCGTAGCAGTTGTACCATTTTACAATCCTTTTCACAGTGCATAAGAATTCCAACTTCTCCACATCCCTGTCAACATTTGACTAACCTTTCAAACTTCACTCTTGGAACAGTGTGTTTACTGTTGTGATTTTTAGCTGAAACCATGGGCTTTTGTACTGATTATAGATCAAGGGAAGAAATCATGGTCTGGGAGAAAACAAACCAGTGGGCAAAAGTAATTGTAGCTGTTGGTCAGAAAGATGAGCAGAATCCACCATTTGTCAGAAAGAAAAACTTAAACTGGAAAACAGTGCTTGTGTATTTCAGGGTGATTTTAGTTTGTGTGTGTGTGTGCTCATGCATGCATGTGTGCACACGTACACATGCATGTATATGTTTTACATTCAATGAACAGAAGGAGAAAATGAATTATATGCTTTAAGTGTGCATGAGGGAGGTAGACAGTGTTGACTGGGGCGAGTGGAGGATTCTTGAAGGAAATGGTTGTGAATGCTAGCTAAAGAATGTAGATTTTTTTTACATCAACTTCCATTGAAAGGATTTAGAGTGGGCTGAGAATGTCGCTTAGTGGTAGAGTGCTTGTAGCATGCATGATCCCCTGGGTTCGATTCCTGAGTACCACATAAGCAGAAAACGCTGAAAGTGGTGCTGTGGCTTAAATGGTAGAGTGCAAAAGAGGCTGAGTTCAAGCCCCAGGATCAACAAAAAGAAAAAAGATTTTAAGTAACAAATGTGGAATCCGGATGTAGGATCATTTGCCAGTCCCGGGGCTTGAACTCAGGTCCTGGGCATTGTCCTTGTGCTTCTTTTGATCAAGGCTGGTGCTCCACCACTTGAGCCACATCACTACTTCCAGTTTTTCTGTTTATGTGTTAGTGAGGAATTGAATTCAGGGCTTCATGTGTGGTAGGCAAACACTCTACCACTAAGCCACATTCTCAGCCCCCACACAAGGGATTTAGTTGCTTAGAAGATTAGAGATAAGTGGCTAGTCCTTGGTTTTATATTTGTATTGTGGAATCCTTATACACTAATTTGAAAATATGTCCATGCTTGATTTTTGAACAACAGCAGTGTCCATATAAATCATTAAGTTATCTCTGTTATTTCTTCCTTTTTTTTTTTTTTGGTGGGTTGTAGACTTGAATTTAGGGCCTGGGCAGTGTCTCAGCTCCTTTGCTGAAGACTAGCACTCAACCGCTTTGAGCCACAGCTCTACTTCTGGTTTTTGAGTGAATTAATTGGAGATAAGATTCTCACAAGGACTTTTCTGTCTGGACTGGTTTCTAACCATGATCCTTAGGTCTCAGCCTCCTGAGTATCTAGGATTACAGGTGTGAGCCACAGGCCCCTGGCTCATCTCTGTTATTTCATTGTAATGTTCCTTAATCCCTTTGACTTCATGTTCCTTAACTATAGAATGAATACTTAAGGTTTCTTTTACCTCTTTGATTTGAAAGCTTTAATTTTAAACATGAAGGTAGGAAGGATTAATAGTCTTTCTGAAATTTAAAATAAGAGGCAGCACATTTAGTTTATCTTACTCTTTTTATATGTAGATCATGGAAGGGAGATGGTTGCTGTGTATGTTACTGGTCCTTGGAACTGCCATTATTCAGGCTCATGAAGGACATGATGACGATATGATTGATATTGAGGATGATCTTGATGATGTCATTGAAGAGGTAGAAGATTCAAAATCGAAACCAGATACCAGCACTCCTCCATCTCCAAAGGTTTGAATTGGTTTTTGAATCTATTCCCTCATGGTAAATATGAACATAGGGGTTGAGGATGTAGTTCAGTGGTAGAGTGCTAGTATGTTCAAGGCTCTTGAGTTTGAGCTCCATTACTAAAATTAAAAAAAAAAAATTTAAACAGGGGCTGGGAAGGTGGCTCAGTGGTAGAGTGCTTGCCTTGCACATCTGAGGCCCTGGGTTCAATTCCTCAGCACCACATAAACAGAAAAAGCTGGAAGTGGTGCTGTGGCTCAAGTGGTAGAGTGCTGGTCTTGAGCTGAAGAGCTGAGGGATGCACTCAGGCCCAGAGTTCAGGCCCCACGACTGACAAAAAAAAATAAATAAAATTAAACATAGAATGAATTTGGATCTTTCAAAGGAAAAGCAAAGTTTGTTAAGATAACAAAACTGATGTTTGCTTTGTTCTATATTGCCAGAGGCCCATATGGATTAAATTCAATCCTAGCTACTCAGGTGGCTGAGATCTGAGGATTGCAGTTCAAGTCCAGTCCAGGCAGGAAACTACAATTAACCACTAGAAAATTAGAAGTGGCCCTCTGGCTCAGTGGTAGAGCACTAGCCTTGAGCAAAAAAAAGAGCGCAGGGACAGCACCCAGGCCGAATTCAAGCCCCACAACCGACCAAAAAGAAAAAAGAAAAGAAAAATTTTATTTTTCAAGGGGTAGCTATGAAAGTTTCATGGCAATTTAAAACAAGCCAGGAAAATTAATTCTATTGAGAAAAGACTGTTGCTGGTAGCTGGGTGCCAGTGGTAGTGCTACATGCCTGTAATCCTAGTTGTTCAGGAGGCTGAGAATCAGTCTGCCCAGTCTGGGCAGACAAATCTGGAGAGACTTATCTCTAATCAGCAAAAAGCCAGAAATGAAGTTGTAGCTCAAGTGCCTAAGCCCAGAGTTCAAGCCCCACCACTGACAAAAAAAAAAAGCGGCTCACAGACTTTCTTGCCTTGGCTGGTTTTGAGCTGTAAAACTAATATCTTAGCCTGCTGAGTGGCTAGGATTACAGGGATGAGCCACCAGTGCCTGGCTGGAAAAAAAAAATTTGAGGCATGGTCTTGCTATGTCGTGTAACCTGTATGTAATTTGTGATTCTCTAGTTTAGCCTCTGAAGTGCTGGGATTACAGCACTTGTGAACCTTTAGGCTCAGCTAAAATTTCAATTCCTAATTCACTTCTGTGTTTAACATAGGTCACCTACAAAGCTCCAGTTCCAACAGGAGAAGTTTATTTTGCTGATTCTTTTGATAGAGGCTCTCTGTCAGGGTAAGTGTTTTCCTAGGTAGAAAAATCATAAAAGGTAAGCATCATTTGTTTTGGACCATAGCATTTTATCTATCTAATCTGTATGTCTCTTTGGGAATATAGACTTTTGGAACTGGTCATTCGTATTGCTCCCATTCTTTTCCCTCTTCCTTTACCCTAGATTTTGTTGTTTGGAAAATTTTGTCTTGAGCATTAAAAAATAGTCCAATGAGCTTAACACTGGTGGCTCAATCCTGTAATCTTAGCTATTCAGGACTTTGAGTGACATCTGAGGCTCATGGTTCAAAGCCAGTTTGGGCAGGAAAGTCCATGAGACTCATAACTTTGGTACCCTTTTTTTTCTTGGTTTGTAAACTGAACACAATGCATTATCACTAATGTATTACAGACATATAATGACAAAGGTTAAGTAGGCTATCAGGAGGAGGGATAGATGGTTCATTTATATATATTGTTTCCCTTCACTTGATCAACTGTCATTTGAATCTTTAATTTGAAGGTTTATCTTTAATTACAGGTGGATTTTATCCAAAGCCAAGAAAGATGACACTGATGATGAAATTGCCAAATATGATGGTGAGAATTTCATTTTGTCTAGCAGATGGAGGTGATGGATTTCCATGGCATCTCTTAAGACTAGCTAGTTTCAAAAAGTACTCCTTGGGAATTGCAACATCTTTGTATATTGTTTTATGTGATAGGAGTAGACCTATGTGATAGGATCAGACCTATGTAAGTAATCACCTGTGATGCTGTATATTGGAGGAAGTTATTTTCAAGGCATTGGTATAATGAATATGTTGGATATCCTACTGTTTGATAAATATTTGTATACTTTGTATTAACAGCCCAGCTGTCATGGAATAATGAAGTATGTTAAAAATTTATCAGTACAGGGGCTGGGAAGGTGGCTCAGTGGTAGAGCGCTTGCCTTGAATGCATGAGGCCCTGGGTTCGGTTCCTCAGCACCACATAAGCAAAAAGAAAAAAGCCAGAAGCAGCGCTGTGGCTCAAGTGGTAGAGCGCTAGCCTTGAGCTGCAGAGCTGAGGGAGAGCATCCCAGGCCCAGAGTTCAGGCCCCACGACTGGACCCAAAAAAAAAAAAATTATCAGTACAATAGACATATATAACATGGAGTTTAGTTGGTTGCCATTTAAAAAACCTTCAAAGATATAGTTAAGAAGTGGAGAGCTTTTTTTTTTTCTGTTTTGTAGGAAAGTGGGAGGTAGACGAAATGAAGGAAACAAAGCTTCCAGGCGATAAAGGACTTGTATTGATGTCTCGGGCCAAGCATCATGCCATCTCTGCTAAATTGAACAAGCCCTTCCTATTTGATACCAAGCCTCTCATAGTTCAGTAAGTGAAATGCTTGTTTGTTAAAAACTATAGAAAGGGGACTGGGAAGTTGGCTCAGTGGTAGAGTGCTTGCCTAGCATGCACGAGGCCCTGGGTTCGATTTCTCAGCACCACATAAACAGAAAAAAGCTGGAAGTGGCGCTGTGGCTCAAGTGGTAGAGCGCTAGCCTTGAGCTGAAGAGCTGAGGGATAGCACCCAGGCCCAGAGTTCAGGCCCCACAACTGGACCCCCCCCCCCCCCCAAAAAAAAAAAAAAAAACTATAGAAAAGGTAATTTAAGAGGACATCAGAAAACTGTTGAAAAATTAGAGAATATATACACACAAACACACACACTATTCTAATAAATTTAGAATCCTGAGATTGTTTTTCTGTGCCTAATATTTTGAAACAAACTAGTTATTTCTTTCATAGTAAAGGAACATCTGAATTTTGCAAAAGCTTATTGGGAATCTGCTTTAAGGTTTAGTTTTATTTTTCTTATTTTTGTGGGATTTAGTAGACATACAAAAACGGTAGATAATGGAATATTTTCTAAATACAATCATATGGCTTGTGATAAAACCTTTAACTAGGGTGGGGTAAAGAAATTATAAGATCTGATCTTTCAGAATGCCATGAGGTGTTTTGCTTTTCTCTCTCAAATTAGGTATGAGGTTAATTTCCAAAATGGAATAGAATGTGGTGGTGCCTATGTGAAACTACTTTCCAAAACACCAGAACTCAACCTGGTAGGTACCTGTTTGTTGTGTGACTGGCCTTGCACAAATATTTTTTTAAAAATTTTTAAATCTTAGAGAGAAAGGGAAGAAGATATTATAAAACAAGAAAATAAAGGAAGGAAAAAAAGAAAAAGCCTACTCCTCTGTTAATTTTTATCTCTTAGAGTATTTACAGTATTGATTTTGACATTAATGTGCTTTTTATTTGAAATGTCACGTTAAAAGTTACCAGCAACACTTTGATTCTCACTGGTTTCTGATTTGTGTTTTAGTTTCAGCAAACTTAATTTTACTTTTTTGAAAAACATACGCATTAACTTCTTTTCTTAAGTACTTATATTATTTTCTAATGATTGCTAATTATTTCTTTTCATTGGTGTCTGAAATTTATGCAGCAGCCAACTTTTAAGTATATAACTAATTTATTTGGAATTTTGTAAGAGAAAACATACTTATGAAAGGTTGCTTTAGAACACTGGTAAGATTTACTTAAAATTATTCATCTTTGTTTCTGAAGGATCAATTCCATGACAAGACCCCCTATACGATTATGTTTGGTCCAGATAAATGTGGAGAAGACTATAAATTGCACTTCATCTTTCGCCACAAAAACCCCAAGACAGGTGTATATGAAGAAAAGCACGCTAAAAGGCCAGATGCAGATTTGAAGACCTATTTTACTGATAAGAAAACACATCTTTACACATTAAGTAAGAAAAAACATTAATTTGGGTTTTTAAAGACATGAGGTTTTCAAAATATGCCTGGAGAATACTGGAGCCTGCAAGAAATCTTGTACCTTTGTGGTAGAATGAGCTTCTTTATTGGTCAGCACTAAAAAGTTTCTCTTCTATTGTTGAGCGAGGACTCTGTGTGCATGTGTGCTTGTGTGCGCTCATGAGTAAATGCCAGTTCTGGGGCTTGAACTCAAGGCCTAAGCTGTGACCCTGAGCTTTTTTGCTCAAGTCTAGTGCTCTACCACTTGGACCACAACTCTACTTCAGCTTTTTAGGTGGTTAATTGGAAATAATAAGTCTCCCAGGGTGGCTTTCAACCATGATCCTCAGATCTCAGCTTCCTGAAGTAGTTAGGATTATAGCTGTGAGCCACCAGCACCACCTGGCTGTTTGATACCATTTTAAGAATACACTCTTGGGAGGCTAGGAATGTGGCTTAGTAATAGAGTGCTTGCCTAGCATACATGAAGTCCTGGGTACCCTGGGTTCAGTTCCTCAGAACCACCAAAAAATACCTGAAGTAGTGCAGTGACTGAGGTGGTAGAGTTAGCCTAGCCTTGTGCAAAAAGTCCAGGCCCTGAGTTCAAGACCCAGGACTGGCAAAAACAACAACAACAACAAAAAACAATATACTCTTGAGTCTGAAAGTATAGTTCAATGGTGAAAGTATAGTTCAATGGTAAGAGTGCTTCCCTAGCACAAGAACATGGGTTCGACCCTCCACCAGCACCACACAAAACAGAAACATGCTTTTATGTCCTATTAAGAGTTAAGTCACTGATACTTCTTCGTTCCTGCCCTTGTTTAGATTCTTGTTGATAAAATGAAATAATAGGATATATAGTAGAGTTAGATGTATAGTTTTTCAAAATTATTAGTTGAACTGACTTTTTTTGTTGTTGTTGTCTAGGTGCTGTCCCTGAGCTCTTTTTTGCTCAAGGCTAGCGCTCTACCACTTTGAGCTACCACACTACTTCCGGTTTTCTGATAGGTAATTGGAGAATAGAGTCATCCACTGTCCTCCTTGGGCTGGCTTTGAACCACTGTTCTTAGATCTCAGCCTCCTGTAGTAGCTAGGATTACAGGCATGACCCACCAGGACCCAGCAGTTGAACTGACTTTGAATGCTTCAGTACCTGGACAGTTAATCTCAACTCTGAATAGGGTTTCAGGCTTGGCCACTGATGCCTGGCAAATGTCACATTTCCACATTTTAATGTTGTAGCATGAAAGGAGTATGGAAATGAGTGGTTAACTAACTCAAACTGCATCTAACCTTTTTCCAGTCTTGAATCCAGATAATACTTTTGAAATATTAGTTGACCAGTCCGTTGTAAACAGTGGAAATCTGCTAAATGACATGACTCCTGCTGTAAATCCTTCACGTGAAATTGAGGATCCAGAAGACCGGAAGCCTGAGGACTGGGATGAAAGACCCAAAATACCCGATCCAGATGCTGTCAAGCCAGATGACTGGTGAGTCTTGGGGACCCATCCTTGAGTGTAAAAGAACCTTTACTTACATTCACAGGGCTACTCACACCTGTTGATGTAGCCAAATGTTGGTAGTATAAGATCTGATTAAATAACCTACAGTGAAAATCAAAAGTGTGATAATAAAAAAGAAAACGGAAGAGTTAGAAATCTATTTCAGTTCAGTATTAAAGAGAAAACAGAAATTACTGTCTGTAGTTGAAAAGGGGACCAGTAGTGGTTATCTAAATTTTCTCATGCCATTTTGTAAACCACAGAATTTAAAAATGATGGTAGTTCGTTATCAGCACGCTTTAGTTTTACCTGTGTGTGTGTGTGTGTGTGCGTGTGCGTGTGCGTGTGCGTGTGCGCATGCACGCAAGCATGCGGATCAGTCCTGGGGCTCAAACTCAGGGCTTGATGCTCTCACTTAGCTTTTTTTTTTTTCTCAAGGCTAGTACTCTACCTACTTCTTGAGCCACAGTTCCACTTCAAGCTTTTGTTGTTAATGGGAGATAAGCATCTCAGGCAGAGGCGCTGGGAAGGTGGCTCAGTGGTAGAATGCTTGCCTTGCATGCATGAGGCTCTGGGTTCAATTCCTCAGCACCACACAAGCAGGAAAGGCTGGAAGTGGCACTGTGGCTCAAGTGGTAGAGTGCTACCCTTGAACTGAAGAGCTGAGGGACAGCACCCAGGCCCAGAGTTCAGGCCCCAAGACTGACAAAAAAAAAGCATCTTTGGTGGGGCTGGGAACATGGCTTAGTGGTAGAGTGCTTGCCTGGCATGCATGAGGCCCTGGGGTTGATTCATCAGTACCACATAAAAAATGAAGAGTCCTGGGGCTGGGAAGGTAGCTCAGTGGTAGAGAGCTTGCCTTACATGCCTGAGGCCCTGGGTTCGATTCCTCAGCACCACATAAGCAAAAGAAAAAGAAAAAAGCCGGAAGTGTCGCTGTGGCTCAAGTGGTAGAGCGCTAGCCTTGAGCTGAAGAGCTGAGGGACAGCACCCAGGCCCAGAGTTCAAGCCTCATGATCGACTAAATAAATTTAAAAGATGTTAAACCAGAGCCGGGCGCTGGTGGCTCACGCCTGTAATCCTAGCTACTCAGGAGGCTGAGATCTGAGGATCGCGGTTCAAAGCCAGCCCAGGCAGGAGAGACCGTGAGACTAGACTCCTATCTCCAATAAATCACCAGAAAACCGGAAGTGGCGCTGTAGCTGAAATGGTAGAGCGCTCACCTTGAGCTGAAGAGCTGAGGGACAGTGCCCAGGCCCAGAGTTCAAGCCCCACGACTGACCAAAAAAAAAAAAAAAAAGATGTTAAACCAGGAGCTGGTGGCTCAGGCCTATAATCCTAACTACTCTGTAATCCTAACTACTCAGGAGGCAGAAATCTGTGAATCATGGTTCAAAGTAAGCTGGGCAGGAAATTTGGTGAGGAAGGTTTCTTATCTCCAGCTAAACACGAAAAAGCTGGACCTGGTGCTGTGGCTCAAGTGGTAGAATGCTAGCCTTGAGCAAAAAAGCCCAGATTCAGTTCCCAGGTTCTGCAAGCCCCAAAGCCAACACACACACACACACACACACACACACACACACACACACACACACACACACACACACACACACACACACACACACACACACACACACACACACACACACACACACACACACACACACACACACACACACACACACACACACACACACACACACACACACACACACACACACACACACACACGTGGTAGAATGCTAGCCTTGAGCAAAAAAGCCCAGATTCAGTTCCCAGGTTCTGCAAGCCCCAAAGCCAACACACACACACACACACACACACACACACACACGATCCAATTAGTTTTGTGCCAAATGTGTTTTGTAATATTGCAGTTTAGAAACTTGATTGAATTTAGTATGTATTATGTATGCCTTTGTTTGGATTAGTAATTGTTAAAATTAAATATTGTCAGGTAAATATTAAGCTTTAAATATTAACTTTCATTTGAAGGTTAACCAGTTTTTCAGGCTAGGAAGGTGGCTTAGTAGTAGAGCTCTTGTCTTTTATGCATGAGACCCTGGGTTCGATTCCTCAGCACCACATAAGCAGAAAAAAAAAAGCTGGAAGTGGCACTGTGGCTCAAGTAGTAGAGCCTTGAGCTGAAGAGCTGAGGGACAGCACCCAGGCCCAGAGTCCAGGCCCACAACCAGACCCAAAAAAAAAAAGAATGACCAGTTTCTCACAAGTAAATGAATTACTTAAAAAGAATAAAAAGGCACTATATTCTGCTTCTCTGGCCAGTATTGTCATAATTGGTGCTTTCCTTATGTATAAGGGATGAAGATGCTCCTGCTAAGATTCCAGATGAGGAGGCCACGAAACCTGATGGCTGGTTAGATTATGAGCTCGAATATATACCTGATCCAGATGCAGAGAAGCCAGAGGATTGGTAAGAATTGGAGTTAAGACTCTAAATTACCTATTTTTCTTTTTGGAGTTAAGATTCTAAATTACCTGTTTTTCTTTTTTGTTTTAAATTAAATTTTGGTTAAATACAGCCAAAATGCCCAAACTTAAGGAGAGAGGTCTATAAATGTAATTGTATTTTATCATTTTTTGAAATGTATCTGTTAAGAAAGGCCATTCTGTTGAATGAGAAAGAAGATGGTATTCTGTAGTACAACACTGAACGCATTCCACCAGGATCTCCTGGGGATGCTGGGTTGGCCGGATGTTCATAGTTCTTCATCCCAGAACCCATTGGTAATTTGTTGTTTATATTACATCTCTACAGGGATGAGGATATGGATGGAGAGTGGGAGGCTCCACAGATTGCCAATCCTAAATGTGAGTCAGCTCCTGGGTGTGGTGTCTGGCAGCGGCCTATGATTGACAACCCCAGTTACAAGGGCAAATGGAAACCTCCCATGATTGACAATCCTAATTACCAGGTTTGTCCTTTTTGATTATTGAGTTGATTTTATTATTAATGTTTGTCCATCTAGGAGTTTTATCTGAAGTGCTATTCATGATTAAGTAGGAAATAAACTTTATATGTTGAGAGACAACTTAGTTTTGTAGGTTAACTGTTGGTAAAGAGAGAAAAAAACATTCATAGTTGCTTATTACGTCTGCTTAAAACAAACAGGGATAATTGGTTTCCAGGTCCCAGTGCTCACTCTTCTGAGTGGCCTTTATTTTCTTTTTGTTAAATGTGCTCTTTTATTTATGATTTATTATTATTTTTAAGTAGTTGTACAAAGAAGTTCCCATTCTACAAAACAGTATATGAATACAAGGTGTCAGACAACATTGCCAGCCATGCTCCTAACCCATCCCTTCTCTCACTTCTTTTTTTTTAAAGTGAGATTAGGTGATTACATAAATTTCACATCTTTTACATTATTGTGGAATAGTGATACTTATAGTTAAAGTCACAAACACATTTTAACCTTTAAAAGGAAATGTGCTCTTTTCAAGAGAATGAAGAACCTGTGATTTGCGTACCTGATGTGATGTAGCAGAGGTGCTTTAGCCACAGGATCCTGATATCGTTTGTCCATCTTTGTGACATAGAGGACTGGTAGGAATTAGTGTGGTAACAGGTTAGCATTGCTTGGCTCAGTAACTTCATCTATAAAAAGACAGGCTCTTGGGGCTAGGAATGTGGCTTAGTGGTAGAGTACTTGCCTAGCATGCATGTAGCCCTGGGTTCAATTCCTCAGTACCACATAAACAGAAAAGCTGGAAGGAGTGCTGTGGCTCAAGTGGTAGAGCGCTAGCCTTGAGCAAAAGAAGCTCAGGAACAAGGCCCCAGGACTGGCAAAAAATTAAAATTAAAAAAAATTAGTGGCTGGGAAGGTGGCTCAGTGGTAGAGCGCTTGCCTTGCATCCCTGAGGCCCTGGGTTCGAATACTAAGCACCACATAAGCAAAAAGAAAAAAGCCGGAAGTGGTGCTGTGGCTCAAGTGATAGAGCGCTAGCCTTGAGCTGAAGAGCTAAGGGACAACGGCCCAGGCCCAGAGTTCAGGCCCCACAACCGGACCCAAAAAAAAAAAATTAAAAATTACCATTTAGTCATTCTTTTGGTGGCTACTTAATGAATCATCCTTTTACATGTTTAGGGGTTTGTAGTATTTTTAGATGATTACTTAGAAGTGAACACTAGTGGAAGACTGCATTTTAGTTTAAATTGCCACCAAGTCTCTACTGACTTATACTCCAACTCCCAAAAAGCAGTTGATGTAATCAGAGGTTTTTGTAATGGGCCAGAGTGAGGTATTGGGTTTTTTGGTGTTTTTGTTTGTTTTGTTTTGGTGCTGGTCCTGTGGCTTGAACACAGCCTGGCACTGCCCCTGGGCTTCTTTGAAGCTCAAGGCTCTACCACTGGAGCCAAAGTTTCACTTCTGGCTTTTTTGGTGGCTCACATCTGTAGATACTCCTAGATACTCAGGAGGCTGAGATCTGAGGATCACAGTTCAAAGCTGGCCTTCAGCAGGAAACTGAAACTTTTATCTCCGGATTAACTACCAGAAAACCAGAAGTGGTGCTGTGGCTCAAAGTGGTAAGGGTGCTAACCTTGAGTGAAAAAGCTCAGAGATAGTGACCAAGCCCTGAATTCTAGTCTCTTATGCCTGCAAAACAACAACTACAAACCTTCACTAGCAGTAACAGCCAGTTGTCATTGGCTAGATACTTTGTAATCCTAAACTACTGAAGAAACTGAGATCAGGAGGATTGTAGTTTTTATTTTTTTAATTTTATTGTCAAGGTGATGTATGTAGAGTGGTTACAGTTAAATCTGTAAGGTGGAGAATTACAGTTTGAAACCATCCTGAGCAGAAAAGTTCATAAGACTGTCTCTAACCAGCAAAAAGCTGGTATAGTGCTATCAAAACAAACAGAACTGCTGAATTCACATCCCAGTATCAATAACACATTGCTGTCATTTGCTTTTTTCCTGCTGTTCACTTAAGTTTAACAAAGTTAGTGTTTGTCCTCCTTGATGCAGTCAGTTTTTTTGTGTTCCTTACCTGAAATAATTTTTTGAAACTTTTTTTTTTTAGGGAATATGGAAACCCAGAAAAATACCAAATCCAGATTTCTTTGAAGATCTAGAACCTTTCAGAATGACTCCTTTTAGTGCTATTGGTTTGGAGCTGTGGTCCATGACTTCTGACATTTTTTTTGACAACTTCATCATCAGTGGTGATCGAAGAGTAGTTGATGACTGGGCTAATGATGGATGGGGCCTGAAGAAAGCTGCCGATGGAGCTGCTGAGGTTTGTATTTGTTATTAGAGGTAATGGAAGTAGTTTGGGAATGCTGTCATTGTGGTTTTCTCTTTCTGGGAAATAACATTACCTAAAGTATAACTGTGGATCTCATTTTATTATCACTAAGTGGCTTTAGAGTCTATCCTGTGTTATGTGCAGGGTGTGTATGACTTAATTGCCATTTGGAACACATTTTAGCACACTCTAAAAATGTTTATTCATAGTTTATTCATGTGTAGAATTTTTAGACAACTGTTCTTGTGACTGAAGAATTTTAATTGTGATGCCTGAGATACTATAAGCCACCATTTCTTGCCAGCACTGGTGAGTGGTTATGCCTAGAATCCTGGCTTTCAAGAGGCTGAGATTTGAGATCTCAGTTCTAAGCCAGCCAGGATAGAAACATCTGTGGGATTCTTGCCTCCAGTCAGCCACCAAAAAGTCAGAAGTAGAGCTGTGACTCAAGTGGTAGAACACTAGTTTTGAGCTCAGAAGCTGAGACGGAGTGCCCAGGACCTGAGTTATTTCCCGAGGATAGGCATCCAAAAACAAAGAAACTAAGGAAGTAGCTCAAGCGGTAGAGTGCTTGCCTTGAGCTGAAGAGCTCAAGGACAGTGCCCAGGCCCAGAGTTCAAGCCCAAGACCAATAAAAAAACTTTTTTAAATTAAAAAACAACAGAAAACCCTACTTAGCTTTGAACCCTTTGAGAAAGGAGCAACCTAGGTAGTGGCAATGCTGTAACTGAACAGAGGGATAAATAGTGTAGTTTGCATTTGATGTTAGAAGACAGTGCTTTCTGCCTTGTTTTACAGCCAGGTGTAGTGGGGCAGATGCTGGAGGCAGCTGAGGAGCGCCCGTGGCTCTGGGTGGTCTACATTTTGACTGTGGCTCTGCCAGTGTTCCTTGTCATCCTCTTCTGCTGCTCTGGAAAGGTAGGGATGTGTTTTGAAATTGGAAGGAATTGTTTTGATGTTAAATATAATTCAGATAGATATATCACTTAACTTTTTTCTCAGCAGCTCTGTAGTCATGACTGAGCCACATTTTCTGTTGAATTCTGAAACTTTCACTCCTACCTGATGGCCATTTTTTGTGGCAGACTGGAAGAGAATTTATAGCCCCTCAGTTGCCATTATTATTTATTTCTCTCCATTAATATTTGGTATCAGCGTTTTCTTTTTTAAGAAGAGCAACAAGCCAGGCACTGGTGGCTCATGCCTATAATCGTAGCTACTCAGGAGGCTGAGACCTGAGGATCACAGCTCAAAGCCAGCCCAGGCAGGAAACTCTGTGAGCCTCTTATCTCTAATAAACCACTAGAAAACCAGAAGCGGTGCTGTGGTTTAAGCAGTAGAGCACTGGCCTTGAGCTGAAGAGCTGAGGGAAAGTGCCCAGGCCCAGAGTTCAAGCCCCGCGACCGACGAAAAAAAAAAAGAAGAGCAACAAATTAGTTACACCAGATTTTTTTCATTGGCCTATTTCTGTAGTTCTACTTTGTTTCTCACTCATTGCCCTCTCACCATTCTCCACCTCTTCAAACAATACCTGTATGGGCTCCGTGACCTCACTGTAACATTTTGTTATTCAGTCCTTGTTGCATGCTCTCTACTGATACTGATGGTTATCCCTCACCCTGCATTCATAGACTTTGTTCCTAGACTTAGTTCTGCTTTTAGCCTTACCCCTACCACTGTTCTATATATCTGCCTGAGTCAGCCTTATAAGTGAGACCTGTACTTTCTTGTCCAACCCTTGGTTCTTCCTGTTTCTTCTGTCTTGGACCACACACTAACTCGGGCGGGGGGAATACATCTTTTTCATGTCTTTAAATCTACTCCTTTAGCAGCCGGATACAGAACTTTACCCATTGAGCATTTAGTAATTATGAAAATATGGGGACTATTTCAGAAGCAGTCGAATGCTATGGAGTATAAGAAGACAGATGCTCCTCAACCAGATGTCAAGGAGGAGGAAGAAGAAAAGGAAGAGGAAAAGGACAAAGGGGATGAAGATGAGGAAGGTGAAGAGAAGCTTGGTAAGAAGTAGTTTCCCAAAATCTCCTTTAAATGAAGAAACCGTGATACTGTTTTAAACCCTGATAAGCAGGTTTATAAGTTATAGTAGAGAATGTTTTAGATGATGCTAAGTGTCTTAGTTACCAAATTTAAGGTTTTACTTATATATATATATTTTTGTTTTTAGAAGAGAAACAAAAAAGTGATGCTGAAGAGGATGGTGGCACTGTCAGTCAAGAGGAGGAAGATAGAAAACCTAAAGCAGAGGTAAAAGTTGGGTGGTGTGGTTCAGGTGGTAGAAACCAGCCAATGAGTAAAAGTGAGTGTCAGACAAAGAGTTCTAGTACCCTGTCTTAGACAAAAATAAAATTGTAAAAAGTTAGAATGCTTTTGTATTTCAAGTAACGGGAATAGGAAGATTTACAATGGCTGTGACAGTAAAATATTTGTTAAAATGGGATTTTGAATGTCGACAATTTGATAATTTTCAGCTACATCTGAACCTCAAAAGATTTTTCGCGTGTGTGTGTGTGTGTGTGTGTGTGTGTGTGTGTGTAGAAAAGAATATGCAGAAGCTGCAGAGGAAAAATAGATACTTTCTAAAGATTTTTGTGTTTTTTTTTTTCGGGGGGGTGGTTTTGGTCGGTCGTGGGGCTTGAACTTTGGGCCTGAGTGTTGTCACTGCGCTCTTCAGCTTAAGGCCAGCCCTCTACCGCTTGAGCCACAATGCCACTTCCAGTTTTCTAGAGGTTTTTATTGGAGATAAGAGTCTCACAGACTTTCCTGCCCGGGCTGGCTTTGAACTGAGATCCTCAGATCTCAGCCTCCTGAGTAGCTAGGATTACAGGCGTGATCCACAGGCACCTGGCTTTTTGTTTTGTTTTTGGGGGGTGGGGTGTCTGGTTGTGGAGCCTGAACTCTGGGCCTGGGCGCTGTCCCTCAGCTCTTCAGCTCAAAGTTAGCATTCTACCACTTGAGCCACAGCTCCACTTCCGGCTTTTTTCTTTTTGCTTATGTGGTGCTGAGGAATCAAAACAAACCCAGGGCCTCATGCAAGGCGCAAGAGCTCTACCACTGAGCCACCTTCCCAGGCAGTGCCCCCCCCCCCTTTGTTTTTGTTGTTGTTGTTGTTCGTGGATGAATTCTGGGCCTGGGCTCTGTACCTGAGTTCTAGGTGAGCTTAAGTTGAGCGCTTTACCACTTGAGCCACAGTGCCACTTCAGTTTTCTGTTGGTTTATTGGAGATAAGAGAGTCTCATGGCCTGGCTTTGAACAGCCATGAGCCACTGGTGCCTGGCAGTAGTGTGTGTGTGTGTGTGTGTGTGTGTGTGTGTGTGTGTGTGTGTGTGTGTGTGTGTGTGTGTGTGTGTGTTAAACAATTCTGTCTCATCTATATCTCCACTAAGTATTTCTTGCACAAGTCAGTGCATTCTAAAGTTTTATCTCTGCTATTAATTCATTTTACACTAATTTTTGTCTTGGGTGCCAGTACTGGGGCTTGAACTGAGGACCTAAGTGTACTAATGCCACCAAAGACTGACATTTTATTACTTGAGCTACAGCTCCACTATTGGGCTGCATGGGCTGACTTTGAACTACGATCCTTATATCTCATCCTCCTGAGTAGTTAGGATGACAGGTGTGAGTTACTGACACCCAGCTTCATTTAACACTTATTTGTTCAGTGCCCATTATAATATGCCAAGCATTGTCAGTGAACCAAGACAAAGATAATAGTACCTTTGAGAGAGTTGGAGTTTTAGTAGGGTCAGACAGTAAGCACTGGATTCTTGAAGGAAGTAAATGACATGGTTTGTTACATAAGCTATGAGAAGTTGGATAGGAAACAATGGTAGAAGTGCTGAGGTGGAATAGGTTCCAGTATTAAAGACCTCATCGGAAAGGTGACATTTGAGTGAAGACTTGAGTGAGGTGAAGGGTTTTTTGAGCGGTTGTTAGTGGGAAAACATTCTAGGCAATTAGTGTAAGGCCTACAGCAATAGTCCAAAAGGCTAGATGGCCAGTAGTAAGAGGAATGCTAAACGAGAGTGGAGAAGGTTCCAGATGACACGGGTTTCCCAGGCCATTGTGTGGACATGGCTTTTTCTTCCTAGTATATTTATGTTTAGCTATTATGGACTTTGGAGCACAGGTTTGGCATGATCTGATCAACTCCTGCTGTATTTTCCCTAGCTCCAACAGACCTGATATGAGATTATTACAGGCTCCTGTAATAATTACAATCTGAAGTAGAATGCAGTTCCTGATGGTTGGACTATGTCTTAAGCTGTTTTTATATCTCCCAAACTGCTTCAGCTAATTTTTTTAAAAAAGTTGCTTGTAGGATTAAATAAAGTCAGCCTTTTCAAATAGTAAGTTACAATAGTCAGTTTATGATAGCATAGAAAGAGCACTGGGGGCTCAAGTGGTAGAGCACTGGCTTTGAGCTGAAATGCTGAGGGACAACGTCCAGGCCCAGAGGAAGACCATTGGGATTTTACTTTACTTGGATTGTTCCAGTTTTCTTTTGAAGAAAGCTTTTTCATTTTTAGACTGGAACCAATAGTACTTTCTTAGGTAGGATTAAGCAAGTAACAAATGTAACCAGATTGCTTGATCCATTTTCAGGAAAATGTTTATGGGGTTGCCTGAGAAAAGTACATGGTTAGCCCAGCGCCAGTGACTCACACCTGTAATCCTAACTACTCAGGAGGCTGAGATGTGAGGGTCACGGTTCAAAGCCAGCCCGGGCAGGAAAGTCCATGAGACTTATCTCCAATAAGCCACTAGAAAATCGGAAGAGGCGCTGTGGCTCAAGTGGTAGAGCACTCGCCTTGAGCTGAAGAGTGCAGGGGCAACACCCAAGCCCAGAGTTCAAGCCCCACAACCAACCAAAAAAAAAAAAAAGTAACATGGTTTTGGAAAACAAAGACAATTTGAATGTATACAAAAATGTATACCTCTGTGCCATAAACTGGTTTTGTTCATTTTCTTATGTTTCTTTTGCTTCAAATGAATTATTCAATTTGGTTAGTTGTGGAAATTTGAATTTTTAAAAATTTGTTAATTACAGTGAATTTATTTTCTTTTCAATTGATAGGAAGATGAAGTTTTGAACAGATCACCAAGAAACAGAAAGCCAAGACGAGAGTGAAACAATCTTAAGAACTTATCTGTGAATTCCTCTCCCTCCCCTCCCCTGCAAGTGTGGTCCTAGGAGAGGGCCTGGCAACCTTAGGTTGAAACTCAGAAAACCTCAAGATGACACCATCAGCAGGTTCCAGCTGAGCGCTAGCCTGTGTGATTTTAAACATCTAGCAGTAAATAATTGCAGTTGTGACATAAAGGACCCTGTTTCTGTAGAAAGAAAACATTTAACATAATGGTTGTGAAATGTAACATGAAGCAACTAACTTGTATTTTTTGTTTTGTTTTTAAACATCTTTCTTTAAAATAGAATGATAGAAGTTTTGCCAGTCTAAAATCTTGGCTTAATTTATTAATCTGTCCATGCAGAAATAACACCAACATTTAGAAAAGCTAGGGGGATGAATTACAGTTTTTCTAATCTAACAGGTTTGTTTTTTTTTTTTAGGTTTGATATTACAAAACATTCAAGTATCTGTGGCCCTTGAAATTGGTAATCATGTCTAAGTACAGTCCTTTGTGGTTATAATCTTGTTTTTCTTGCTTCTATTACTCAATTCCTCCAAGAATATTGAGATTAGATAGAAGTCCAAATTTATATATAAAGATTTTGTTTAAGTTGTATTAAAAGTAGACCTATAACACACACACACACAACACACCCAGCTTTCACTTGGATGTTGGTTAGATCATAAGGTTTGTGTGTTCTCTTGCCCTTGGAACTGCTTGGTTCCCAGTCAGCTTTTCAGTTGATGGAGGTGGTGATTTAAAGCAGCACCTGGGCATTCCTACTTCACACATCGGAGTCTCTGGTCCCTGGCCTCCTAGAATGCTGGCTTTTGAAAGAAACACTGGCAGGGCAGGTGGGCTCCAGAGAAGATGCTTCACCACTTGTTCCACTGTGTTGACACTGTTTTCCTTACCTATTTTCCCTGCCCTAGCTCTCTCTCTGCTATGCATTTTCTTCACAGCGCAGCTTGCAGTCCGTTGCTGAAAATTATTATAAAGCTCTGCATAGTGTTAAGCTTTATTGTGATTAAGTGTATGTTTCTTTTTAAGCAGACCCACACCTTTCCAGGGTCAAAGTACAGGATAGAACACAAACTTCCATTCTTATCCATTTCCTTTACTCTGTATAAAGACTTTAGAAGTCTAATCCAGACGTGGGCCAATTCAGAATTGACTGTAATTGAACATAGAATAAAAGTATTTATGGGAGGAGTGACATAGCATGAATTACCTGATTTTTGTAGAATATTTTAAGTTCATTCGCAATTCATGTAACAGCTATGTCTTAAATTTACACAATAAAGGAGTCCTTTTCAATTTTTTTTTTTAATATGGTTTGAAGGATTTTTTTTTTTCAAAAGATTTTAGGAGGGTTTTTTTTTTAATGTGGAATGCAGATGGGTGCTATTAGAGCTTCTCACCATCACTATGGTGTAATTTTATTATTATACCACACTGAAATGTATTCAGAAACATTGTTTCCATTATATTCTTTGTTCAGAAGGTTTCAGAAATACCGAAGATACTGTTCTTGCACTGAATATATAAACACTCTCCAGTGTTTATATTAGGGAGACATTAGAGAGGAAGTAAAGGATGAAGACTATCCATTTATTTTATCTTTAAAAAAATACTGGTTTGATTAAATTCTTTTGAGGATGGGATACATTTTTCTTGCTGCTGTTCAGTGCTTTATCCTTTTCATTGTTGTTTTGTGGTCATAGTGACCTTAGCTATGTAGCTGACTTTCCCAAATGTATGGAGTGCAAATAAAGAGTTACTTAGCAAGAACTGAAAATATGACTGCAGGTTTCTCCTTGAAGCAAATATGTGGGTATCATTGCATTTCCAGTCATTGCCTTCTTCATTGTCTATTGACATATTCCATGTCTATTTCCCAGCTGAACTGTGAAAAGACAGGGTTGAATCATTAGTGTTTATTGCCTTTCTGAGTTTATTTAGCAAAATTTTATGGAAGAACACAAAAACACCTCAGCTCTTTAGTTTTGTGTAAGGTTAGCTTCCTGGTTAAAGTGTCTTGACACTAAATAAATGGCCAGTAGATTTAGCTCTTGAAAAAAGCACAGGGCTGGGAATGTAGCTCAGTGGCAGAGTGCCTGCCTAACATGTTCAATACTCTTGAGTTTGACCTCCCCACCAAACACCTCAAAATAAAAGCGATTTCTTATATTTGGATATTTACATGCTGGTTATCTACCTGTTTTAACATGCCCACACACAATCAGATCTGTTCCTTCAGTGTTCTTACTAGTTTTCTTCACTTTTCTCAAGTTGTCACATTATTGAATGGTGTTACATTAAAGCTGTGTTAAGTGTCTTGCTTTTGATTGAACTTCGTGGTAACCTTCGATGAGATCTTGTTTTATTGTTTCTATAGTGGGGTAATGGCCTTTTTATTAGAGTTGCTAATACTCTAGAATTTTGTATTTTTCTACTGTTTATATAAAAAGCATTTGGCTCTGGGCTTTTTCCCCCGCCCCGATTTTAAAAAGAAAGTCTTTAGAAATGTGATAACACGTTTGGGATGCTGGTGGCCTCTCCCAGTGATAACCTCCTAAGCACCTAAGTGTTAAGCACTTAGGGCTGTGGATCCCACGTAGTCTCGTTCTTATAGTTAACAATATTTAACTCGTTCGGTTTCCCTTCTCTGCCACTCTGCCTACTAAGTAACATCACTGTAGACCTCTGCGTTTGGTTGGATGGTGCTGAGTGAAGCTGGAGGTCATGCTCCCCGTGGAAGCGCTGTAACGCAGCTGGACTCCAGTCCACACTCTCACGTCGAGGTTTTTTTCCTTGCTTTTTTTGGTAATGAGACTGGTTCCGACTTAACATAAAATAGGCGGAAATGGTCGGTCCCAGTGATTCACAAGGGTGCCGGGAGGAAACCTCTGGCTCACTTGTGAACAATCCTGACCAATTATGGGGCTGGATGTAAGGAATGAGGTCAAGGAGAAACGGCTGGGAAAACCGTGTGCCTGCTCTGAGTTTGCTAAAGCCCACTTCAAAACACAGTCGATGGAAAATGTGAAGTCCCGTCCTGCCAGGCGGGCATCTGGTTCTGGCCAGTTACCACCGTGCTTGTCGGTTCACCCCGCATTCCTCGGGGACCCGGAAGGGCCTGCCTTCAGGGGGCGGCGTTTAGAAGCCCTCTGTCGCCTCTTGGACAGGCTCCTGTCAGTCACCGCTCGGTCCGCGAGGCGGAGGCCCGCCCCGGGGCTTCCCTTCGCCCCTCGCTTGAGAGTTCCTTTTAAATACCGCTCAGGAGCCCAAGCCTTCCCCTTACGTGCTCGTGCCCACGCCCGCGGGTGGCGGCCTCTTCCTTGTCTGATTGGTCGCGGCCCTTGTCCGTTTTCCGTAACGCAGGAGCTCGTCGGCGCAGGCCCCGCCCTCTTCCGAGAGCCCTGAAAACAATTTTAAGATGGCGGCGGCGGCGGCACGGAAAACAATGGGGCCGAGACGGAGGCGACAGGCCGAGGCCTGAGGTGGGCAGTGAGCGCCCGCCCGAAGTCGGGCAGAGCGGAGCGGGGGCAAGATAGGCCGCCGCGTGCCAGCCTGCTCCGCAGCCCGCGGGAGCATGGCGCGGCCGTGAGGCGGACCGAGACCGCCGGGGGAAGCGGAGCCCACAGTGCCAGCCGGCCCGGAGAGGCCCGGGCCCGGCCCGTGCAGCCCCGCGGCCCATGGTGCTGCCCACCTGCCCCATGGCGGAGTTCGCGCTGCCGCGGCACAGCGCGGTCATGGAGCGCCTCCGCCGGCGCATCGAGCTGTGCCGGCGCCACCACAGCACCTGTGAGGCCCGCTACGAGGCCGTGTCGCCCGAACGCCTGGAGCTCGAGCGCCAGCACACCTTCGCCCTGCACCAGCGCTGCATCCAGGCCAAGGCGAAGCGCGCCGGCAAGCACCGGCAGCCGCCCGCCGCCGCCCCGGCCCCGGCCCCGGCGCCCGCCCCGGCCCCGCGGCTCGACGCAGCCGACGGCCCCGAGCACGGCCGCCCGGTCGCGGTGAGTAGGGAAGGCACTTTATCGCCGCTGCCTCTGCTCCCAGAATCGCTCCCGGATGCGGTGCGGGCCTCTGGCAAACTTCCCCGCGCGTTCCCAACTCTTGGGTCGGGCTCCGGGTCGGAGGGTGCGGGAGGGAGAGCTAATCTGGCAGGGTGCTGAAGCGGTTGTCATCCTCGGGAAATGGCACTGTGGCCTTCCTGGGGGGGGGGGGGGGGAAGCAGGACTCAGGAGGACTTTGCATGAGGCCCGGGACTGGGAAGGCCAGGAGGCCGGAGGATTTCCTTCTAGACTTCGTCCTGAAATGTTAAGAACGTTTATTTGGGGATTAAGCAGAGTCCCTTTCGCCTGTGGAGTAAAGAGTTCTTGCCCCGTAGGCCTGACCTCATTTATTCTGCAGATGTTGATTGGATCCTCGCTCTTTGCTAAGTCTTGTGCTGTAAGTGGAGTCCGGGCTGTAACATGAAAATAAGTCGGCCTTCAATGGACAATATCAAACTGCTTGAGTAGAAAATCAAAGTCTTTGAAAACCTTGGTAAAACCCACAGGGCTGCTCTCTGGAGTTACACAGTTATTCCTTGTTTGAAATTTGTGAATTTGAGATTGCTGCGGTATTATTGTCGATGATTCCAATGTTAACTTAAGAGGCCTGGTTAAAAAATCTCTGATGATTTTAGATAGTCGTTGGTACGTTTTAGTGGTTTTTAGTAGATATTACTGGTTGCTTAGAAGTTGTTCTTTCTTAAGCCTGATTATAAAGGGAGACAGATTTTGAGTATGAGCGGGGAGGAGGTGATGTTTTCTGAGTCCAGCATTCTTGGTAAAGTTTCAGAGAAAATGTTATTACTTTAATTTGTTCAGTGTATTTGCAATCCATGCCTTTATTGTCTCTTACCTTTGGCTGTTAGGGAAGTCCTTCCCTCTAGACCGTAGGCTTTCCAAATGGTAGAGCCATTTATCACTTAAAGGAATGAAGTTTAATCTCTTTGGCTTGATTTTGGGACCAGTCTGACCTGACCTATCTTTCCATGCCCCCCAAAGATCTGCTACTCTGATTGAATTGTTCTCATCTTTCTCATGCTGGCGTCAGCTGCTGGACTTGAGCACAGAGTACTGGGGCTCAAACCCAGTTTTATTGCTTTTTGTATAAACTTGTCATGTCTTCTCATCTTCATTTTTTTTTTTTGGGGGGGGGGGTCTGGTCGTAGGGCCTGAACTCTGGGCCTGGGCGCTGTCCCTCAGCTCTTCAGCTCAAGGCTAGTTCTCTACCACTTGAGCCACAGTGCCACTTCCGGCTTTTTTCTTTTTGTTTATGTGGTGCTGAGGAATCGAACCCAGGGCCTCAGGCATGCAAGGCAAGCTCTCTACCACTGAGCCACCTTCCCAGACCCCTCATCTTCATATTTTCTTGGGCTAGTCTTGTCACCTCTTTTCCTGCCTGTTAGTGGGGGTAATATTAGGCTTCTTAGAAGGATTCCTGTATTGTCCAAAAGAAATGAGTATAGATAAGAAATTACTTAACAAGCTGAGGACCACCTGCAAGTTCTTTCTCAACATCTTTCTGAATCTTGCCATCCCATCCATACTAGCTCATCTCCTCTGCTTTGCACATAATTTCTGAGAAAAAAAATCAGAATCTCCTATGTCAAAATAGTTATGACACATATTGCCCATGCTGTTTATTGGTTGTACATAAGCATATATCATTTCAGTTACATTGCATCTTACCAAGCTCTTGGAGGCAGAGAGGTCTTGCCTTAGGCCCTCAGTGCTTGGTGTGAGTGATTAATATCAACCTTGCTGGTGCTTAACCCAGTAATCTATCCAAAATTACTTAACTGCAGAAGCTACCATTACTAGTACTTTTTGTTTGTTTTTGTGCCAGTTCTGGGGCTTGAACTCAGGGCCCGAGCACTGTCCCTGAGTTTTCATGCTCAAGGCTAGCACTTGGTCCACAGCTCCACTTTTGGCTTTTTAGTGGTTAATTGGAAATAAGAGTGTCATGAACTTTCCTGCCTGGGCTGGAGGCTGCCTTCAAACAGCAATTATCAGATCTCAGTCTCTGAGAATCTAGGATTACAGACAAGAGCCACCAGCACTCCACTAATTTCTTTTTTAAAAATAGACTAAGAATTTAGAACCTGTAGGATTTTTTTGGTTGATGTTTTGAATCTCTAGAGAGAAATCAGGTGCACATTCAATTTTTGAAGATAAATTAATTCTAAGTATGTTAGAACTTGCTAACTTGATCATAATGTGCCATGCTGAGTTAATATCACGTTGAATTGTAACCAGAGGGGTCGCATGAATTTCAACTTGATAGTGATTAATACTGTCTTTTCTGGGAGGAGGGATCCTTTTCACTCAAGCTCCAAATGATTCTAGCTGAGCTTGGGAATAGGGTTCAGAAAATAGCTATCACTAAGAAAACAGTGCTGTTTTCCATTTTAGTGACTTCTTAGAGTGGGAGAAAGTCCTTGGCTGAGTAGGATTTTGACTTGGAGAATAGAACTTTGCATAGAGGGATCGAAAGAAGGCATCTCCAGTATTTTTACTTTTGACAATTCTGTTTTCAAGTGTGCTACAGTTCTCTTAGGCAGTGGTTGCATAGCTAGAGTTCCCTAATCAGCAAACTTTATTTTTTGGCCAGTCCTGTGGCTTGAACTCAGGGCCTGTTCACTGTCCCTGGGCCTCTGCTCAAAGCTAGTGCACTACCACTTGAGCCATAGCGCCACTTCTGGCTTTTTATTTTTTTTTTTTTGCCAGTCATGGGGCCTGAACTCTGGGCCTGGGTGCTGTCCCTCAGCTCTTCAGCTCAAGGCCAGCACTCTACCACTTGAGCCTCAGTGCCACTTCTGGCTTTTTCTGCTTATGTGGTACTGAGGAATCTAATCCAGGGCTTCATGTATGCTAGGCAAGCACTCTATTGGTAAGCCACATTCCCAGCCTTGGCCTTTTCTGAGTAGTTTATTGGAGATAAGAGTCTCAACTTTCCTGCCCAGGCTGTGTTGTTTTTGTTTTTATTTTTATTTTTGCCAGACCTGGGGCTTGAACTCAGGGCCTGGGCACTGTCCCTTAGTCTCTCTGTGCTCAAGGCTAGTGCTCTACCACTTGAGCCACAGCATCACTTCTGGCTTTTTCTGTTTATGTGGTACTGTGGAATCGAACCCAGGGCTTCCTGCATGCTAGGCAAGTACTCTAAGCCACTAAGCCCTGTGAGTTTCTTTTGCCCAAGGCTAGCATTCTACTGCTTGAGCCACAGCTCAACTTTCTGGCTTTATTTTGGAGTAGCTTTTTGGAGATAGTGTCTTGGTAGGGCTGGGAATGTGGCATGTGGCTTAGTGATAGAGTGCTGAGCAGGGAAGAGTACAGACATGAGCCACCAGCATCCGGCACATATTCAGTTCTTAAAATGAAGATATTCTTTTCAAATAGCTTGGACATTATCTTTATCAACCATTGTTAGACTTTTGCGTTGAGCCAGAGAAACTTATTCCTAAGTGGTATAACAGTTGACAAATTTGACAAGCTTCCATGATTCTGCTCTCCCTGTTTTATTTTAGGTTATATGTAATTTTCTTTAAACTTGGTGTGTGCACACACACACGCACACTCAGATGTGTTCTAGGGCTTGAATTCAGGGCCTTGGAGTTTCACTTAACTTTTTCCACTCAAGGCTGGCATTCTACTACTTGAGCCATGCCTCTACTTCCAGCTTTTTGGTGGCTAATTAGAGATAAGAGTCTCATGGACTTTCCTGCCTGGGCTGGCTTCCAAACTTTGATCCTCAGATAGCAGCCTCCTGAGCAGCTTGGATTACAGGCATGAGCCACTATTGTGCTCCATTTGCCTTAACATTTATATTGTTCTTCCCTCTTCTTTCCCTTCCTCTTCCTTCTCTACTTTGTTTTTCCTCTGTGTTACATGAAGACTTATACTTCTTAGCTCTATCCCAATTACACTAGTGTGTACCGTGTAAGAGTTAAGAAACGTGTGTACATCACATAAGTGAAACGAATAAACTGTGTTTTCTTTTGTTTTCTCCTGCAGAATAGTTTTCCAGGGCTAGGAATGTAGCTTAGAGGTAGAGTGCTTTCCTAACATTTATTAAAGCCCTGGGTTCGATTCCTCAGTGCCACAGAAAAAAGCTGGAAGTGGCTTGTGGCTCAAGTGGTAGAGTGCTAGCCTTGAGCAAAAGAAGCTCAGGGATAGTGCTCAGGCCCTGAGTTCAAGTCCTATGACTGCAAAAAAAAAATAGTATTACAGTTTTCCTTTTGTCCTTTCTACCTGAGCTTCTCATTTACCTATTATCCCATAATCTCTCTTTCACATCTTCTACTCTTCTATAATTGCCCCTTAGAGGACATCAAGGATGGAATTGCCAAATTCAATGGTTTCATCATTCTTAGTCATCATTCTTCTTGACTTCCTCTTTTATAAGACTCTTTTCTTAGCTTCTGCTCTCTTCTGATTTTCTTTCCAGCTTTCTGGGTTTTTTTTTCTCCCTTGTCTCCTTCTGACGTCCTTAATTAATTTATGCAAAAAAATCTTTGAGTACCTATTGTAACCTTGGCACTAGGGATATAGCAGTGAACAAAACAGAATAAAACTCTGTTGTCACGAAGAAAGAGGATCACTAATTAGTTGGATATGGTGGTACAGACCTATAGCCTCAGCTGCTCCGGAGGCAGAGGCAGGAAGATCTTTACGACTTATTTAGATTCTGCCTTCAAAGTTTAAAAAAAAAAAAGTGAGCTGAGTATGCAATTCATCAATAAAATGCTTGTCTAGCATGTACAAGGACTTTGGTTCCATCCCTAGTGCCACCAAAAAAATTATATTATGATAAATGTTAAGCAAGAACTAGAGCTTGATGGATATATGATACCAAGTGATTGGACAGTTTGCCTTAATACGCTGTGTCTTACTCTGGGCCAAAATTATAAGAAAGACTTGCATCAGTCAGCCAGAAGTCTCATTAAAGAACATTCCAGTGAAAACCA